GCATTTACTCTGGTCAACCATTCCAGATGAACCCAGCTTCTGGCCACCTCCACCAAAGTACCAGACGTGTGAGTAAAAACATCTGGGACCCTGTGACCAGCACATCTGCCAGCTGAAATTTATGAAGTGACCTCCACAGGTACCACATGAAACAGTAAGAATCATCCAGCCAAGCCCTGCCTATATTCCTGATCCACAAAATCATGAAATGTAATAGAACAGTTGTTGTTTTAAGTCACACATGACTTTGAATATCAAGGTATACATGAGTGACGATCAGAGATTGTCAAATAGTACATATCCATTTTATAATGGAAGGAAAAAATCCTATTTGTGTTAGCTATTTTCTGCTGGCAGTAATCCCTAGTAATAAGACTACTCCACTATGCCAGTAACTCTAAAATATTCAGAATTAAGTTTGTTGGAATATACTGCTATAATTAGGTTCTTTCCATATTGGTAAAATAACTGATTGTAGCAAAGCTTCATTTAACTTATGTGGGCCCAATGATACAGAAGCTCTCAGCTTAAAAAAAAAAAAAGCGCGCAGCTTATTAGAGATCTCTTATTCTTCCTGACTCGATTCACACTTCATATCCTCATCCTGGTTCTTCCTCTCTCTCTTGCTGGGTCTAGTGTGAGTTACACTTTATTCCTCTTTTACTATTTCAACCAAGGCCCTGAAATATCTGTATTCACATATCTTAATTTGGAATATGAAATGTTTTTCTTGCTCTCTTTTTATTCTCTTTGAGCAAAAGCCACAATTTTCTCCAATTCATCCCAGAAACCAATAGCTTAACTGAGTTGCTACTTTCTCACATTACCATGGGCTGAGAAAAATGAGGATACTCTTGTTAGAGAGTCCAAGATCCCTACTGAATCAGAACTCCATGAAAAGTCTTGTCTTTAAGTATTCTCAGTATCCACTTTAATATCCGATTTTAATCTTCCAGCCTTTCATTTTGCCAAAGGCCTCTTGTTGTATATGGCAAGTTTTCAAAATGAAACATCCTGCCTTAAATAAATAATCACAAAAGGTGAAAATTACAAGTTTAGAATTATATGGTGTATCTATACAGATGTAGATAAATGGCAAAAAAAAAAAAAGCAATTTAAAATGTACACAATTACCACTTTCACAGAGAAACAGAAAAAAATGCAAGCTGATTAAGATCTAACATTAATAGAAAAACTACTCTGTTCACCTCCATACATTTCTTATCTACTATATGTAAAAGAAATCTCATTTTAAAAATACCTAGAGTACACATTTAACCAAAATATTCCCTCAGAACCTCCCTTTTTCAAATCATATCCTTCATTGTGCCTCCCCCAAAGCCAGCTATTATCTCTCTGTGTAATTCTCCAATAAACATTAATTTTAATACTTTTAAGTAAGTGTGGAAGGTAGACTCCAACATGGCCCCCAATGATTTCTACCTCCTGGTATTTGCACCCTGTAAGGTACCCTCCTGCTATGTACCAGGACAAAAGAAATGGACTACGGCTCTTCTAAGATTGGGTTATAACATATGTGGCTTCCAGCTTAGGCTCTCACTCTCTCCTATCACTCATTCTGGGGGAAGCCAGCTACCATGTTGAGAACACTTAGGCAGCCATGGAGAGAGACCCACATGGCAAGAAACAAGACTTCCAGCCAACAACCATGTGAGTGAGCCTTCTTGAAAATGAACCCTCCAGCCCCAGGCTAGATCTCAGCTGATGCAGCCCCAGCTAAAAGCTTGATTCAAACGACTCTGTGAAATACCCTGAGTCAGAAACATCCTATTAAGCCTGTACAAGATTCCTAATCCCCAGAAACTGAAATAAAACATGTTTGTTTTAAGCCACTATGTTTTAGGGTAATTTGTTATACAGCAATGTACAACTAATACAATAAGCATTGCCTATTCTTCAAAAACCAAACTCATGTTTTAAAAGTAAAAAAAAAAATTATAAATAGAAATAGTAATTGCAAAAATTGGGAGAAAATTTTGTTTTTAAAATCTTGGCTAAAATTGAAAGGCAACTGTAATGTCAGTTTGCCAGTTCTACTTAAAAAAAAAATGAGCCAACAAAGTACTATCAGGAAAATATGGACTGTTTGTGGAAGAACAGAGATCAGGTTGAGTAGGTACACTGGGAACACAACATCAACTTTTTTAAAATTGGGAAGGAAATCATTTTGTAATTTAAAAATCACAATCTCCTATTTAACTACAATAAGACATCCCACAAAGCTTGCCTTATCTATTTAGAATCTTGTCACAGCTTTACCTTGTCACAGACCATATCACATGCCTACTTTGATAAACACATAAGAAAGATAAGGGCAAATGTACCAAATTTCAACTAGATTTCACAGGCATATCAAAGCATAGATTTTTTTCCTGTGATGTTTCCACACCAAATCCAAAACACTTCTTTCACTCATACAAGCACACTTTCCAAGAATACGTAAGATTTCCTATAATACGAAACAGTCCTTTTAACATAACTTACTTAATGTGAAAATGCATTTAGTACCCATATATTTAGTACATGAGTTGGGTATTTAAAAATATCCAAAAAGCAACAATAAAAGAAAAACATTGGAGCTTTTCATTTATCTGATTGGGGGGAAAATGATTTCAGTGATCTCCATAGGAACTGTATGTACTGATATTGAACCCAACAAGGAACACGAAGACTGTACTAAAAGTTAAAGCAGCAGCATCAGTAAGTATCTTTTGAGTCAACGGGCAATAATTTAGTCATCAATACTGGCAAAAATAGTTGATTTAAACTCTCAAGTTCTTTAGCTTATGAATAGGAGATAAGCATTTGACTACCACATTGTTTCCTACTATATTTTCGCCAGTTTATCTTGAATAAAGAAGACAAATTACTAACTTCTCTCTCATATAACTTACACACTTATTAAGTTTAATTGATGCTAACTGATCTCCACTGACTGAAGTTAATAGGTCCTTTCCAAAATATTTAAAACCATGTCAAGGGGCGCCTGGGTGGTTCAGTCAGTGAAGCGAATGCCTTCAGCTCAGGTCATGATCCCAGGGTCCTGGGATAGAGCCCTGCATTGGGCTCCCTGCTCAGCAGGGAGCCTGCTTCTCCCTCTCCCTCTCCCCCTGCTTGTGTTCCCTCTCTTGCTGTGTCTCTCTCTGTCAAATAAATAAATAAAATCTAAAAAAAAAAACCATGTCAAATTTAAAATTATCTTCAGTGGAAAATGCAGCCTCTCTACTGCAATACTCCTGCCATGTGCTAAAACAATAAGGTATGAGATAAAATTTATCCAGTTGTATCACAGGATGTGCTTTTCAAGAACTGTCATAAAATTATATTAATAGGGCCCTGCAAACTTGTAACAATGTTAATGCAGAAGAATTTCCAAGAAATTACTTAGACAAGGCCTAATGTATGTTCAAATAGTGTTGTCCATGGAGAAAACATTTCTAAAATTAATGTTACAGCATATATGACTGGCTATATTGTTTTCCCAGGAGCACATTTTCAGAACTGAGTATTTTAAAACCACAAAGTGAGTACAAACATACCTTACAAATATGATTATTGCTTCATATAACAGCATGATTACACACTTAATAACTGAACTGATTATGATGCTACATTTTTCCTTAAAAGCATTGTGCACAGACAATATCTGGAATATCCAGTACTATAAATTGGTCCACGATTCCCTGAACATAGAAAAAAAAAAAGCAGTGCAAAGAAAGGCAAAGCTAAGAAAAAGTTTCCGGAGAAGCAGTATAGATAAGTCACGCTTACATGACCTTCCTTCATTCCTGTACATAGGCCAAAGAAACACTTTCAAGTGCCTCTGGCGAATCAAATGCCACGTTCCAATCAATGCACTCTAAACTTAGGAATCTATGGGATGTTTATGTACCTATCAACTTTGGGGAGGGAGGTAAACTTTTTAAAAAATACCAAACACATTGGAATGTAATATAAAATAGCAATGTATCTTGTCTGTTTTATGTATTTTGTCGGTACTACTGTATTTAAACGCAAAAATATTTTAAGGTGGAATTAATCACTTACTCCTTTCATCCTCTTGATTTTCTGAATTCTTAGCTTTTTCACCTGCACTCAAATTCAGACCTACAGCATTCTGCACTGGTTTTAAAAATATCCTATTTTAACATGTTAGCTTAAAAATAGCCTTGCTTTCACCGCTCCACATTACTTTAAAGCAGAAGTCTGCTTTTCATAGTGGAGCCAGATTCCCAGAAAAATACCTTCTTAATTACTTCATTCTTTCCACCTCTGGGGAAACAACAAAAACTGGAGTTTAACTTGTGCAGCGCCGAACCTACAGGGGCTTGCAAGTTATGTATCTGCTGCTGCTGGTTTGATCCATTCTTTCCATTTCCCAGGAAAATGTTTCCTTTGGCTGCTTAATTTAATACAACTCCATGTGTGTGCAAACACACGGCTGAGAGCATCTCCGCCTTAGGAAGCAACACCCTTCTTTTGGACACCCGTACATCTCGGTTTGATAACCTTTCCAGAAAGTTTCTTCCTGCATCTCGGGTTCGCGGCACTTTTCAAGCAGGCAAGGCACGCCACCTCCGTGGCCGCTCGTTCACAAGAAAGCAGCAAGGGCTTAGGGGGACAGGAGGGTTGGGGAGGGGGGGCACACAACAAATCAAAGCACAATCAAAACAGTATCGGTTGACAGTCTGGGCTGAAGCTCGGCTTCTAAGGCTGGGGAGGAACCAGCCAAGCGTCGGTCCGGGCTGCTGGCTCGATCCGCGCCTGTCCTACCTGCCCTGGGGACACTCAGGAGGCGCGGAAGGTCCCCCCGCACACACACACCAATCCCCGCCCCCGGGCCGGACGTCCCAGGCGCGAGGCCAGGCGGGCGAGGGGAGCCGGCGGCAGGGGTCCCGGGCCGAGGGGCGGGAGGGCTCCCGGGCGCCGACGGGGGTGGGGGCTCCGGGCCCCCAGGCTCGCCCCTCACGACCCCTTACCTTGGGCGATGGCGATGGACTCGAAGCGGTGCAGCTCCTTGAGCAGGCAGCTCCTCTCGGTGGAGTGCAGGCTGTAGATGAAGTCGCGCGCGCCCTGCGCCGTGTTCAGCGCCTCCATGGGCTCCTTCTTGGGGTGGGTGCCCAGCCCTCGGAAGCCGCCGGGGGCCGCGAGCGCCAGCAGCCCCCGCCCGCAGCAGCACCAGGACGGCGGGCGGGGCGCGGCGGCGGCGGCGGCGGCGGCGGCGGCGACCGCGACCGGGCCCGGCCTCAGGCTGCGCGCGGTCCGGCTCCTCAGCAGCGGCAACAGCCGGGACATGGCGGGCTGAGGAGCGGGGACCCCCGCGGCAGTCCGGGAGGGCGATTTCTGGCAAGGCAGGGGGAAGAGGGAGGTAGGCTCAGCCGGACCCCGCCCCAATGTCCTCCCGACTGGCGGCAGAGGCGCCGGGCACCATGCACTCCCCGGGCCCGCGCGTCGATCGCCTCCTTTTCTGTCCCCCTTCCCTTCCGAAAGGCCCGCGGCGGCTCCGGTCCCTCCAACGAGAAAAACTTTCTGTGAGGCTGCGGGCCGGGAGAGGGCGGGTGGGCGGTGCGGGCGGGCGCCTCCCGGCTGAGGAGGGGCGGCGCGGGCGGGCGGGCGGCTAGGGTTGTCTCCGTCAGTTTGATCTTCCAGAGGGATGAGTCAGCCACGCACCGCCCTCCTTCGGCACCGCCCTCCGCTCCTGCCGGCTTTCCCACCCTCCTGCCTGCCCTCGTCGGCGCTCCGTAGGGCTCCCGCGCCCTCAAAGCGGACGCGCTCCAGGCCACAGCCGCCGCCGCTACCCCTAGCGGCCGTAGAGGGGCTAACAGGGCGGGGCGAAGTGCCGGGGCGGGGCCGCGCAAGCGCAGTCCGCGAGCTCCCCGGCCGTGCTCCCGGCAGACTTGGGAGCGTGCACAGGAGTCCCCACCCCCTCCGGTGCGCGATGGTGGAGGAGCAGACGGCGCGTATCCCAGTGCTGGCGCCACCTTTAAGTCCAACGCAGGGAACGGGGAAAAACAGCTCTGGATTTCTTGCTCGGCGGTAGTGCCGCTACCACCGCTGCGCCCTAGCGCCAGGCCTAAACCTGGAGCTTGTTCCGAGCGGTGCTCCAGCGTGCGGCGCCCCCTCGCCCGGCACCGGCCTCACCACCGCTCGGAACCTCACGGCGGAGCGGCGGGGGGGCGGGTCCTGCTCAGGCTTTTGGGGATTGAAGCGCCCACCGTGGCTTCGGCCAGGCCCTCCGGTCTTTGAGGCACCTGCCCTGGGAGCTCCAAAGGGAGGGCGAGGCCAGGGGTTTGAGACTGAGGCCTTGACACCAAAAGTCCGCTTCCTCGTTCTGATGCCAGCAGGTTGCAGACCGTTAATGCTGGAGCAAGAATATCACAGACCTTTTCGGGCTGTTTGCCAAGGTTTGTTTTTAGTTTTTGTTTTTCTCTTTGCCAAGGAGAAAAGAATTTTGCGATTCTGCACTGTTTCCACGTGTCCAGATCCTAGACCTCTTTCAGGGCCAAGCTCGACGGTCTCCTACTCCAACCTTTCCTTTATCTCCTCCTAAGGAAGATCTCCCCTTTATCTGAACCTAATGACACTTAGGCTTCCTGCCTTAGAGAGTAGATCCACTTAGAGAGTAAATCTGCTCAAGCGCAATCAAGATCGAAATCTTACCCAAGGGTCTTATCCGCGGCTGCACCAGCCCAAGACCTGGTATGTGGGAAATGCGCTATAATCATGGAAGTGCAATATATAAATGTGAGTCGGGGGAGGAATGTTACCACTAAATCATTCTATTGCTCTAACTCAGCGGTTCTCAAAGTGTGGTTCCCGGACAGCAGAGCTTGTTAAGCATGAAAATTGGCCTACTCTGCTCTAGACCCCTTGAATCAGAAACTGGAGTTTGGGCCCACTCATCTGTGTTTTAACAAGCCCTCAAGTTAATACTGATGCACACAAAAGTGTGAGAACCACTGCTCTAACTTAACCATGAAAAGCATTTTTAAAAAAATTTCAAGGCAGCCTCTTTGTGTAATAATGGCAATTAAGAATGTGCTCTGTGAGGGGTGCCTGGCTGGCTCAGAAGAGCATGTGACTCCTGATCTTGGGGTGGTGAGCTGAAGCCCCAACTTGGGTGTAGAGACTATTTAAAAAAAATGTGCTCTGTGGTAAATGAAGTTGGGTGTAAAGACTTGTGTCTTTCTTGTTTTTGAAACCCTCTACATCCCCAGAGTAGAATCCTCTGCAGAGTTATTTTAGTCTCAAATTCGTCTCTCCTATATCTCTTACCCGCAAGGGATTCTGACTCATTGAGCTTGGGGCAGGGCCTGGGAAGTGAGGTTTGGAAAAGCTATTCACTAAGAACCCATTCCTAACAGTCTTTAGGACACCAGTTTTGTGGATGGACTCCAGAAACAGATGGCTGACAGTTTGACAACTGGCTCAACCATTTTCTAAGTGTGTTAGTGGTAGATTATTAGAATAGTGGTTCCAATGAATCATGACTTATCGTATCCATTCCTTTGTGTAGACCTGTCCCACATTGACTGTGGGCTTGGCTGTGTGACCTGCTTTAGCTGATAAGTGGGACATCACAACCCTGATCTAAGTGCTTGCTCGTTGGGACTTGTTGTAATGTGTTTGCTGGATGATTTATGATTATTCAAGTCTGCTATAGAAAATAAGAATCTAAAATGTAGACATAATTTTTTTTTTAAAGATTTTATTTATTTATTTGAAAGATAGAGACACAGCAAGAGAGGGAACACAAGCAGGGGGAGTGGGAGAGGGAGAAGCAGGCTTCCCGCCGAGCAGGGAGCCCGATGTGGGGCTCGATCCCAGGACCCTGAGATCATGACCTGAGCCGAAGGTAGACGCTCAACCAACTGAGCCACCCAGGCGCCCCGTAGACATAATTTGCTTATGAGACATTAAACCTGGGATAAATGGATACGTGTTGATCTTAGATAAAAAGGATGGAACAAATGAAAGTGCTACTTTAGATAGAAAGAGATAGACCAAGTGAACTTTAAATATTAGTAAGGTAGAGATTATACTACCTCTAGACACAACTATGTCATCCCTATATTGACCACCTACTAGTGACACGCATTATAGTCTCATTGTGGCCTCGTGTAGTCTGTACAAGAAAAGCAGATAAACCCCAAGAGACACACTTGCTCCTTCATCTCTGACAGAACAGATATGTGTTGGTTCCAGGCCCTCCTCTCTTACTTTCCTCTGTGGTCCTTCACAGCAGGGAGGTTAAGACATATGAACATTGCATAAAACAAAATTCAGATACTGTGGTCTTCCACCTTGCTGTCCTAAGCTGGTTTATCTATCCATCTCTTTCCCCTTGCTAGGCAGCTCATTGTTAGAGTCTCTTATAAGATGTCAATCAGATGTCAGCTAACTGCAGCTACTGGCTGGATGCCCAAGATGGCACATTCATGTGGCTGAGGATTGATGAGGATTGACACTAATGTGGCTGAGGATTGATGCTGGCTAGTGGCTAGCTGCATGCTCATCTGGGACTGTGAACCAGTGTACCTTCATTCAGCCCCTCCAGGAAGGCAGAACTTCTCCTTTGCTGGCTGGCTTCCCTCAAAGCGGGTGTCTGAAAAGAACCAGGCCCATGGCCTTTTCTGACATAGCCTAAGAAGTCATGCAGAGGGGCACCGCTGTGTTGTAGTCGGTTTAGCATCCATCACTTGGTTTCAGCTCAGGTCTGATCTCAGGGTGGTGAGATCAAGCCCTGTGTCAGGCTCCACACTAGGTGGGGAGTCTGCTTGAGTTTCTCTCTCCCTCTGCCCCTCCCCCCTGCATACACGTGGATGCTCTCTCTCTCAAATAAATAAATAAATCTTAAAAAAAAAAAAAAAGTCATGCAGCATCATTTCTCCTGTACTCAACTAGCTACCAGCAAGCTACTAAAGCCAGCCAAGATTCAAGAGAATTCAATGGGAACAATGCCAAAGAATTTGGGAACATGTTCTAAAGCTGCCACATAAACAGTGTGATTCAGGTGTCTTCATTTGGTTTATAAGCCCATCTGTCCTGTGACCTATGGTAGAGTCTGTGTGGTGGTGTACTTGGAGCCTGCCATTGCATCAAGGTAATTCTCCACATGACATTTGCCCTTTGGAATTCAGCTGCCATACATAGAACTCCGGAGTATCCTGCTAGAAAGACCACATGGAGGAGGAGGCAACAGCCAGTAACCCCAGCTAACTACCAGGCACATGTATGGGGCCATCTTGGACCATCCAGTCCCAATCAAGACCCAGATGACAGCATTGCAAAGAGGTAAAGTCATTAGCTCTGGAGCCAGACTTCCTGGGTTTGGGTCCTCACTCCTCCATTTACTAGCTCTATAACCTTGAGCTGATAATCTTTCACGGACGCTCATCTGATGGAATAAAGGCATGTTGTTAAATTTGCTCATCTGTTAAATGGAAATAAGGCATCTGCTTTATAGGGCTATAGTGAAACTAAATGAATTAATACATGTAAAGCATTTCAAACAATACCTAGAACATGGTGAGTGCTCGATAAGTATTAGCTCTTATTATCCAAATTCCTGTGAACCTCTCACACCTCTAGGATTATGTCTTTGGACCCTAATTTGAGAAATACCTACCTAGCTATCTGTCGTTTAATACACACTTAATGTGTACTAATTGGATCCCTTATCCATTCCTTTTCTCTGAACATTTGAATATCCTAAATCTGAGTAAATGGAGGAGATGGGGAGAGAAGAGGGCTTGGGGTCTGTGTATAGAGCTATGGAAAAATACAGGATAAGGCAGGCGCATGTGGGTGGCAAGAGGAAGGTCCTGAGGAAATTGTGAGGCTGCTGAAGAGAGTGCCAGCAGGTTGGAGAAGGTTACAGAAGAGGGAGAGCAGGAGGGCCTGGATTCAGCCTAGCCTGCCCTTCACTTTTAAAGATGACAGACATCATGCCTCAGTTAATAATCACAATCTCCTCCTCATGAAAAGCTGCTGCTGAATCAACAGTCCACAGTAGATTACATCATGCAAATACCTTCCAGAGTTCCTGGCATCTCTCTTGCTGGCAGGGCACAAGGCTGTTTGCTGTGTACATGTTCTGATATGTTATACACCCAGCTATTACTGTCCATTTTTAAATTCCTGAATGGTTGTTTTATTTAGTGGGACCTTTAATCATTTATTCTGCCCACATTTTTGTAGTTCCCTTTTGGCACTTCTCATCCCTCAGTTTCCCACCTTAGGATTCTGACCCCTGGAACTCCCTAGCGCCATCAGAATTACGGCACGTGGATTACTGCTTCACAATGAAAAGCACGAAAGGCAATTAGAAAAATTAAAGAAGACTTAATGGAGAGAAATACCAATTAAAGTTTGGTAAACGCAAAGTATATGATGTCTGTTCTCTCTGAATTAATCTATAAATTCAGCATGATGTCAATCAAAATCCCAGCTGGGTTTGTGTCTCTGTATGTGTGTGTACGAAATTGTTAAACTGATAGTAAAATTTACATTGAAATGAAAATGGAGGCCATACAGAAATGGCATGGGTCCCCCCGAGTTCAAATCCTAACTCTAACTCATCTACTAACTGTATCAGTTGGACAAGTTGTTTATCATTCTAAGTCTTGGTTTTGAGTTTCTTGTTATTTCTTAAAATCTACCCTAAGAATCATGAGGATGAAATGAGATAATATATTTAAAGCACATGGCATATTACCTAACATGTAGTAGGTGCTCAACAAATGATAGGCAGTATTAAAAGGCAGTAAGATTTAAAAAATAGTGTTAACAGTAAAACAGTGTATCAGAGGCCCATGTAACTTTAGAGCTAAAAGAAAAAGAATCCAATTGGATCTCTATTTTCTCAACATGCCTGTATCAGTGTTTCTCAGCGTTCCAACTCCTTGCAATCTAGCTGTCCAGTTTCCAAAGGACAAAGCTGGAGATATAAATGTGGGAACCATCAGCATCCAGATATCATTTAAAGCTATAGAACTGGCCAAGTTCCCATTGGGGTAAAGACGGAGATGAGGAGAGGGTCTGGGGCTTACCTGGGACTCTTCACCCCTGAGAGACTGGAAGAGGCAGAAGAGCCAGCAGGGTAGGAGGAAAACCAGAGGATGGTGGTGTTCAGATCATTAGATGCCTAGAACAATGTTTACCTGGTATAATACTGGTCATTATTATTCTTGGGATATTGGATGATTGGTTTGTTTTTTTTTACTCCTTTGCACTTGTATCTGTTACTTGAATTGTTTATGGTAAATGTATATAATTTGTTTTTAAAAACAAAACTTTTATTAAAGAAAGGAACTACAGAACACCTGAGAAATGCAAAATAAACCCTGAAGGGACAATCTCTCTTTCGGATCCTTTGCATTCCTCTACACCAGTCATTTAATACTACCTCTCATCATCTAATGATCTCATCTACATATTGGAAAGTGCCCATCACAGGTCAAGAAACAGTATCTTATGGAAGCAAGGTAGAAAATATAAGGGAGGGGCTATCAGTTGGCGCACAAAACTCCTGTGCTTAATTTCATATTCCATGAAGCTCATATTTATCTGTCCTTAAGCATACCTATGGGCAACAAGACTGACTGTTCCACACCCACCATAAAAAGTGCCCCTGCACACCAAATACACACACATACATGCATGCACACACACACACCTATTTGTCTCTTTCAGGGCAAAATTTTATAACATTTTTTCCTTTCCAGGTCTCCCATCGTGTTTGAGGTTGGGGAGGAATATTGATCAAAGCAAATATAAGCAGTATGGCTTGAAATGCCTTCTTTGCAAACTTTAAACTCGAGTTCTTAGTGAGGCTTCCAATATTTAGATGCTGAAAGTACTATTTTTTGAAAAATGACTCTATATGTGAACCCAGCAGGGAGGTCAGTGGAAGGATTGTGAATGTTCCTGTTTGTTTTGGGAAGAAAATGAGACATTGATTCAGACTTTTCTTGAACATCTTTTCAAAGAGACTTATCAAATCATCCCCAGACTCTATCTGAATTCAACATATATTGACATCACCAAATTAGGTACTGGAAGTATGAAAATAAAAATGTACTTTGTTTAAGGCCAGATTCTCTATTTACAATTTAATATTTTCAATGCTATAAATTACTACTGTTCAACAGTATCCAATTCTCAGGGCCAGAGAGGATTATTCTTTCCTATGCCCTTGAAGCTAGGGGTAGCTGTGTGACTTGCTTTGGCCAATGAATGGAAACCTGACATATTTTACCTCCAAATACAGGTACTTAATTGCCTGTGCTCGACTAGGCAGTTCTTCCCTCTCCTAATGCGGTGAGATTCACAACATGTGCTGAAATGAAGTCCTATGAAACTGATGATGCTGGGAGTAGGGAGCCTGTATAGGAGAAGAGCTGCCCTGGAGAGTTCCCCCAATCCATAGCAGACTTTGCATAACAGAGATAGAAGCTTTTTTGTGTTAAGTCCATGTGATGGAGGGATTCCTTTTTATTGCAGCAAAAGCTCCAGTATCATGACTAATATAGCTCTTCTTTGGCTCTTTCTCTTACCTTTATAAAGTTGAATGCCTTCCTTCACTCCTGCTATTTTTCTAAAGGGAGGGCCTGTTTTGGCTCCAGTGTGTTTGTTTTTCCTGAGTAGGATATAGGGAGACAGGGTCCTCTTTTCCTCTTGTTTCTGAGTTTTATGTGAGTCTGGCACCACACACAGATTTGGGAGTCGACAGCATGAAGGAAGTGGTTTAAACCCATGTAAGCAGATAAAGTTGGGTATAGCAAATGTGTGACTGAAAACATAAGAGGACAGAGACTCGGGGAACAAAAACAGTTAAGGGATAAGCAGTGGAAGAAGAAATAACCAAGGAAAGAAGGTGAGATAATGTGACAAAAGGAAAAAAATCTGGCCACAGAAAACAAAGGATGATAAAGTTTCTAGAATGAGTGGTCTAGAGTTTCAAATGCAGCAGCAAAGTAAAGCAAATCAAAGACAAGGAAGTACTTATTAGAAATGGTGAGTTGAACACGTATAATTATGACCCCTTTATAATAAAAGTGCTCTAAACTGAATGTAAATGAGTTAAAAAAAAAAAAAAGTCATACCCTTGTAAGCATGGAGTTAATAGGAGAAGAGGAAGAGCGGACAGCATTACAGAAATACAAGATGTAGAGCAGATGGAGGAGTGTTAATTAACCCAATGGATCAGAGAAAGGTGAAAACTAAGCTAAAATGGAGCAACCCACAAGGTTAATTTGAGCAACAGTCTCAAAAAAGTACCGGAATTGGAGTCACCAGGTACCTCTGAAGGTTGAGATATAACTGAACTAAAAACATAAGATCTAGGTGAAAATTTTTAAAGGCGTGTTCAGAAAGCCAGATCCCCTTCTACATCCTATATAGCTGGGAGAATGCCACTTCTGACTCCAGCAGGAATCCAGAAGTTTACTAGTGGAGAGACACTGGGCTTAAGGGCACTAGAAACACCTGAGGGCAAGGGAGGTACAACTCAAGAGATTAAGTAAATACCACAGTCTGACTCATGGGTCCCCCTTGTCACTCTTCTGCTCTGCTTCCAGGAGAGTTTGGTAGCCATACTATTGGAGGATTCCTCTTTTTTTTTTTTTTAAGATTTTATTTATTTATTTGAGAGAGAGAATGAGAGAGAGAGCATGAGAGGGGGGAGGGTCAGAGGGAGAAGCAGACTCCCTGCTGAGCAGGGAGCCCGATGCGGGACTCGATTCAGGGACTCCAGGATCATGACCTGAGCTGAAGGCAGTCGCTTAACCCACTGAGCCACCCAGGCGCCCTGGAGGATTCCTCTTTGAGTGCCCAATAAAATAGCTCAGCCAGACCACCCGGCAGTGAAACCACCAATTAACCAGCTCTGCCAGTCTGCCAATTACAGTTTCTAAACAACTTTTTGTTGTTTCTCTCTTAAATACAAAATATGAGCCAAGAATTTAAAATCACAGGTTGGTTGAAGAAAGCCTTCAAGACAAAAAAAATAGCTAGCATAAAAATATATAAATAAATAGCATAAAAATAGATAGATAGATAGATAGATAGATAGATGATAGATAGATAGATAGATAGATAGATAGATAGATAGATAGATAGATAGATAGATAGATAGATAGATAGGCGTCTGGGGCACCTGGGTGGCTCAGTCAGTTAAGTGTCTGCCTTCAGTTCAGGTCATGATCCCAGGATCCTGGGATTAAGCCCCGCATCGGGCTCCCTGCTCAGCGGGGAACCTGCTTGTCGCTCTCTCTCTTTCTCAATAAATAAAA